ATAATATTCCATTATATCCATGTACCACATTTTATTTATCCATTCATCAGTTGATAGACATTTCAGTTGTTTCCACTTTTTAACTATTATGAATAATCTTGCTATGAACCTTCATGTACAAGTTTTTGTGTGAACCTATGTTATCATACTCTTGGCTATATAACTAGGAGTTGAATTGCTGAATCATACTGTGACTCTGTGTTTAACTTTTTACAGAACTCTTTAACTATTTCCCACAGTGGTTACATCATCTTACATTCCCACCAGCAATGTTTGAGGGTTCCAATCTGTCCACTTCGTCTCCAATAAATACCTGTTATTTTCCACTTTTAATTATAATTTAATTTTAACATTATTCTTTAGCAATCAGCTTGCAAATTTTTTCCATAACTTAACAATCCATTCTCACGGGCTGGTATGAGCTAGCCCAGCATACCACTGCATACAGCCCTCCACAAAAAATCCCACTGTCCTTCTCTTTAGTCAGTTCCACTTCTTTTTGCTGACAAGAGTGATACTCAACAGATTTGGATTTCCTTCTTACATTCTTCCTATAGAAAACCGAAACAGGAGATCTCAGGTTTTTTTCTCTTCTGGAATGAAGATTTTTAATTCTGGAGAATCACAAGGTTTTCAGCTCTACCAAGCACTCTGGGCAGAACAGAGTGTTTCCCTCCTCCATTTATGTTGAGAAACAAAAATAAAACCCAGAATGTGTCTTCCTGACACCCAGATGTATCTTCTGGATGGGCTCTCAAACGGTTGCTTCAACAGGGCAAACAGCTGTGGTCTGTTTCAACATAATTTGATGTAATCAGGGTTAATTTTGGTGATGCAGTAACTCTGTAGCCTGTTTTTTAACTGGATTACTGTTGGGTCAACAATCATGTGGCATTACATTTAGTGGCTGAAACAAAAGCCAGAATTAAAACAGCTTCCCCCCAGCACCCTTCTAAATGACAGCCCCACTGGAATTGGAAGTTATGAGGCACATTTAACATAATTAACTAAAAACAGAAAGTAGCTGCAGTCAAATTACATGCAAGCTTCTCCAAGGTCCAGTGTCCACTGAGAAAAGAGCTGGAAACTTACTTGTTGTTTTCTTTTCCTAGAGTCGTTAGAAACATGTTGGCAGACATCATTATAACTTCATATTTGGAACTGTTTCTGAAGAACAAAGTCTTTATCTTACTTTGAGATCTGGCCATGAGTGTTTATGCCAGCCCAGCAGCAGGGTTTGGGCTGCTCTAGGCACACACACTTTCTGATTTAGTCTCTTCCCACTTTTCAGTTTTGGCTAGTCTGAAACACAGCTAAGGCCCGTGACAAAAGCCATCCTTAAACAGTTCTGGAAAGCAGAATCTTCAAAAATAGATGTCTTGGGAAGCTGCCAAATGTGTTGGTTCTTCAAAACCTCTTTAATCCAGTTTTGTAGTTCAAAGAAAGGTCTGATGTGTATCCAATCCCCTCTGTAAATAAGTCTCCATTCATTTGTTTTTGTGACTTAGAGTATCAAGAAACTTGAAAAGCAAAGAAGTCATCACGTACCCTCCTGCATCTTATTTATCAGGAATTCCTCTTCTAAATTTCTTGATCAACAAATATTCTAGAATAGTACGTGTGACGAAAAGGTAATGAGGCTTAAAGAGTAAGGAGAATTCTTTCCGTAAGTCAGACGGTGTACTAATGTCTTTTAGTTGTAAAAGCAGATACCCATTTAAAATTTGCTTAAGCCCCAATAGGGAATTTACTGGGTTTTTTTTGTTTGTTTTAAAAAGAGGCATATCCCATGGAACCCAAGAAATAGTTGAATGTGGCCTCAGGAAGGGCAGCAACCAAGGACTAAATATAGCAAGAACTAGGCAGCCAGTCTGTGTGTCTGTCTCTCTCAGAGGCCATATGGTTTTTCATCTCTGAGCATTTTGCCTTCCGTTCTTTCTTTCTGCAGACTTTCTCTGTCTCTTAAGGTACATGTTTGTCTTAGAGCTCCTAAGTTTACATGTTCCTGGTTCAAGCAACTAGTCCAGACTGTCTAGCGTTCTCAACCCCAATTTTCTAAGAGAAAATGAGACTGGTCCATTTGGGGTCAGGTATCCATCCCAGTCCTACCAGCAAGGGAAGCTCATGTCCCCAATATGTCTGCTGGGGTTTTACTGGCTAGGATAGGGGTGGGGGAATTCTCAGAGGAAAGATGGGTTCGATAACTAACTAGATACCTTGAAACGTGTTTAATAGAGACGTGAACACCAATCTTGTTTCTTGCAGGACATACCCACTATCTATCACTTGAAACTCAGAAAACACTTAGGCATGTATTTCTATTCAAGTACAAAATGTTTATGTTCCTATATATATTACTTGGGAATTATTATTTATGTACTTGTTATTCAGTTTTTTTTTTAAGTTTTAAATAATTTTTATTGAAATATAGCTGATTTACAATGTTGTGTTTTTTTTGGTTCGTTTTTTTGGCTGCATTGGGTCTTCGTTGCTGCACGAGGGCCCCCTCCAGTTGTGGTGAGCAGGGGCCACTCTTTGCTGTGGTGCGCGGGCCTCCCATTGTGGTGGCCTCTCCTGTCGCGGAGCACGGGTTCCAGGTGCATGGGCCTCAGCAGTTGTGGCTCGCGGGCTCCAGAGTGCAGGCTCAGCAGTTGTGCCGCACGGGCCTAGTTGCTCCGCAGCATGTGGGATCCTTCCGGACCACGGCTCGAACCCTGCATTGGCAGACAGATTCCCAACCACTGCACCACCTTGGAAGTCCATGTTATTCAGTTCTCAATAAAGATTTTCTGAACCTACTATGACAAGTTCAGCATAGGAATACTGAGGTGAGTAAGACCAGGGTTTTAAGAAGTTCAGGGTCTTTAGGGGGAGAGAAATAGATAAGCAGATGTCTATAGTAGTATGTGGGCAATGTTATAATAGAGGTATGTTCAAAGGATTGTGGGAGCACAGAGAAATCATCAGCCCAACAAAATTATCAGTTTGTCCCCCCATATGGGGACAAACAGTAAGGGTTTTCCTTGTCTTTGGGTGCCTCCCACAGAGAGGCACAGAGTAGGCATCATTTAACGTTTGCTGAATTAGATGATGTAAGCAGTAGCTCCTTCAATTTTGAGGCAAGAAACTTATCTAGATTTAGAGAGCAAGGTGGAAAAAAAACACTAACTAAAAATAGCAGCGACTCCAACTAAATTCGTCTTAGGACTTGCTTCTGAATTTCCTCCACCAATCAAATAATTCATTCAACAAGTATTTACTCAGTACCTACTATGTGCAAGGCACTTGGCTAGGTGCTGGTTATGTAATGATGAACAGCATGGAGAGGTTCTTGACAAGCCTACTAAGTCACTGTACTCCAGAAGCAGTGCTGGAGAGTTGCCCTAGAAACTCACCTTCAGTAACAGATTACAATGACAAATTACTAGTTGAACTCATAGTTTCTTCTGATCCCTGACTTTCTGTTCTATGTTCAGGCAGTGGCTTCAGACTTGGGTTTAGGCTGAAAGGGCTAATTTAAAAATTCAATTTATGAAATATTTTAGAGACATAGAGGGGGGAAAGTCAGTTTGGGAATTATTTTTTAAGGAATATCTCCCTTTTGTCTGATGGGTACATTTACTTTTTTTTGACACCTAATTTATGATACCTAATTCATTCAAGAGTTATTTAATGAGTACCCTCTATGTTCCAGATACTCTCCAAGGCACTGGACATACAAAGATAAATACACTCTCCTGTTCTCATGGAGCTCACGTTCTGGCAGAGAAGACAAGTGACAATATAAGAGGACCAGTATTTTCATATGGTTCTGAGGGAGCATAATGGAGGGAGGGAGTCTGGAAGCCATTGACCAACCCTTGGTATCTAGAGGTGCAAGTCATATAAACACTAACACTAGTAATATAAACACATGAAAAGGTAGAAATCCTAGCTGCATTTTGGAGTGTCACCATTCTTGAAATAAAGCCTCATGGCCTCAGACAGTGTGATTAGAGCTGTTAATATTTTGATTCTAGGTGACTAAGAGGTGACAGGTGTGTAGCCTGAGAAAGCCACCCAAGTCCGTTCATAGGCATGTGGAGACAAGCAGTGCTCTGTCAGGATGCAGGGCACACTCCAGCCTGATGAGCAGGACAGGACTCTGTTGAAGGCTGCTAACCCACTAGAAAAAAGTTAATCAAGAGTGAAATGACAGTCAAAATAAAGACACAAAAGGTCCACATATGGTATCTTTGTGGTTGCTGATCCATGAATAGCCCACTCCTAAGTTTTCTGAGAAACATTAACTAGATACAAGAGCCTTCCTGCACAAGTTAGTAAACTAGAAGTAGGTTGGGTTTCTTTTCAATAAAGTTGACATATCTGGTTGGGGGAAGGGGTGGAGAAAGGAAGGGGAAGCACCTGGATGTTGCTGTATTGCAGGCATAGGAGGAATCAGAGTGGGAGAGAAAAACATGCACAGAGAAAAAACATGGGAGAGGTAGTGGAAGAGAAAGGAAGTGAGGCAGAGATAAAGGTCGAGAGATGTGGCAGGATCTATGCCACATGAGTTCCAGAGCAACACCACTCTGCAGGCTGGCTTTCCCATCCTTGATATAGAGGCACAGAAGCCAGCTCAAAGGTCCACACAGGGGACTTCCCTGGTGGCACAGTGGTTAAGAATCCGCCTGCCAATGCAGGGGACATGGGTTCCTGGTCCGGGAAGAGCCCACATGCCGCAGAGCAACTAAGCCCATGCGCCACAGCTACTAAGCCTGTGTGCCACAACTACTGAAGCCCATGCACCTGAGAGCCCATGTGCCGCAACTACTGAAGCCCGCGCGCTCTAGGGCCCACGTGCCACAACTACTGAAGCCCGCGCGCCTAGAGCCCGGGCTCCACAACAAGAGAAGCCACCGCAATGAGAAGCCCACACACCGCAACGAAGAGTAGTCCCTCCTCACTGCAATTAGAGAAAGCCATTGCGCTGCAAAGAAGACCCAATGCGGCCAAAAAAATAAAATTAAAAAAAATATATATATTAAAAAAAAAGGTCCAGACAGAACAATCAAATTCTTCAATGAGCAGATCTAATTATTACTTTTTACAGTAAAAACATTAAAACCTCACTGAAGGTTTCTCACAGTGTGAAGTTAAACCACCTATATTAGAATCACTCAGGGTGACCGTTTGAAGAATGCTAACTGTGTGCTGTTACATCCTAGACCTTTTAGGGTGGAGCAGACTTTCTAGGGTGGTATCAGGATAATCTGAACTTGTAATAAGCTCCCCAGGTGATTCTTATGCATAATAAACTTTAACAAAGATTATACAAAATGGGAGTCCCTGAGACGTGGGAGCATATCCTATTTTTCTCTGTGTTCACAGAATCGAGCACTTAACCTGGCACAGTGCGTCTACTGAACTGAATTGAACAGGCCAAAGAGATTTTTAAAGAAAAGTCGCTCAATTCCACTGTCCTGAAACAGCTGATTCCATTTTTTCCCATATGCTTCTAGTCCATGTGCACAGCTTTTACACTGTTGTAACTGCAAAGTACAACTTAAAAAATTTTCAACACATTTTCTCTTATAATTTTTATGGCTATAAAATATTTCATTCAACATGTAATAAATATCTTACTTCATACAGATTTTTTTTTTGAGTTTTGAAAAGGATTCCCTTAGGAGACCTTACATTTGTGTAGTGTTGTCAACTTATGAAACCCTTTCACACAGTCTTCGCCGTTTCTCACAACAATCTGTAAGTTAAATATTATCCTCATTTTGCAGATAAGTATACAAACTCAGAGATAAAATAACTTGCTCAAGGTTCCACAGCTGGTAAGTAGAGCGTCAGACATAAACCAGAGTCTTCTCCCTCTACGTCTAATACCCCTTCCAAGACACGAAACATCCAGCACATTTTCTGGCAGGAATCTGACCCTACAGTTTCCTGATGCAAAAACCTGTAACACAGAAGGCAGAAGATGGAAATTACATTTAAAGAGATCGTTGGCCAGCCGTATCCTAACTGTATAAGGAATCCGTTTCTGCCTTTTGGGGCAATGCAAAGAAAATGTAGTATCAGTAGAAATCTTCAGTAAAGGAACTTACTGTTCTTCAACAACAAATCTATATATGACCCAAGTCCATTTCTGCAATCCCCAAATAAAGGGGGTTGGTACTGCCCTGAACATTCTGAAACTCTGAGATCTTTCAGCAGTATTACAGATACAGGAGGAGGAACAATTACTATAGGCTGTAAGACAGACAGGGAGGAGGTACTGGAGACTTTAAGCTCTTCTAACGTCAAGACTGGTATCACAGGGTACTTGGGTAGCAGCTGAGTGGACAGTGAAAAGAAGCATTACTCTACTAAGAGAAAGGCCCACCTTAAGGATACTCTGCCTGGCGAACACCCTAGTGGGGTGCAGCTCTTCAGGGAAGGACAGACTGTCCCAAGTGAGCAGCTACAGAAATTCTATTCTGGAGAAGAAAGTGTGTGGCTGTTTCTAATTTATTATATTTGCATGCCATGGAGAGGCCGGTTCTGTTACTATCAGGTCACAATCAGAGTTCTCCAAGTATTAAAAAAAAGTTACCTCTTAAGACAGACAGTTCTTAATTCACTGAAGGTTCAGTGGGTAAATTAGTAGGAACTGGGAAAAATACAGAGGAGGGTAATTTATACATCATATACAGGGGAAGGGATATGATCTCTAAGAGATTTTTCAAATCTAGGATCATTGGAAAACAGCAAACCAGCAGTTCTTGTTGAGCCAGTGTGCAGAGAAGGTTCTGCATGTGGCAGAAGCCAGGTTCTGCAAAATACAGTTCTGTGTACATGTGTATTTGTAGCACGAAAAAAACCTTTGCTGCACGGGCCCACCAAGTTTCTATTTTCAGAGTATCATCTTGAAATATCAAAGGCTGATCACTTTGGGAAGGCTATTAATAATTCCTATCAAAGTTCTTTCATCTACCTTTCTATGTATATTCTAGGATGATCCTAAGAGGAAAGTAGGACAAATGTGAACACAGACTCATTTAAAAAACTGCACAGTGAGCTTAAGTACACTGCTGGGTCTGGGACTCTGTATTCCATTTTCAATGTTTCTCTTTACTAGAATGTATTTGGGCTCAACCATCATTTTCCATCACATTCTTAAATTTCTTCTCCCTGTACAGAACAAGGAAATCAGAGGCCAAAGTGTGTTTTGCACTGGGGCTTAAAAGGCAAGATTCTTTGATTACTGTAAGAAGTTCAGTGCTTTCAGTTTCTCTGGAGGCTGAGAGTGGTGAACTTTATTTGTAGTCTTACTCCCCCTCATTATTAGGAATTCCTAATAACCAATCTCCATAACAAATAAACTAATTTAACCAAACAAATTTCAGGCACAGTAAGCTACAAAGGAACAAGGTCCACAATATATTGTGGACATGTTAAAAAATACTGTAAACTGTAAAGCAATGTCCAAATGATAGTCATATTATTAATAACAATTATGAACAGTAAAGATGTAGCAGAAGGATATTGAAAAGTCATAAACTATGTTAATTCAGTGATTAGCTGCCTGAATGGCAGCTTACGAACCATCTAAACTCCTGATTTCTTTACAAAGGTCCCCCAGAAACTACCACACAGTGTACTAATAATGGCTGTAAATCCACTGGATTCCAAAGCAAACTGCACAAGAGCCAGCTGGAGTGTTAGCTGATCCAAGGGGCAATCCAGGGCTCCTGACAATGGTGGAATGTCTAAGTTTCTGGAGGGGTGCTAACCATGATCTAATAAGACCTGTCTTATAGAAATCCTACTGAAGTATTTTGGTGTAGGGTGATTAAGGTGGCTTTCCACTCTTTCCTTAATGCTTTTGCCATCTTTTCATTGGAATTGAAGCTGGGAAGAACTACTGTCAGATATTACTCCCACCTGTTTTCTTTTTATTATACATACTTTAGATTGCAGACTGAATACAAATATTGATCAGAAGCCAAAACGCCCCAGACACTTCTTATCAATTCAATCCAGGCCAATCTGTCTTTCAACTCTGCATTTTTATGTTCTTGCCTCACCACTTACTCAAATAAATATATGAATAAAATAACAATCCAAGTAAGCATCTCTCATCTATAATTACCTGAAGAGGTTTAAAGAAGGGTAGAGTTAATCCATCTCACCAGTTGCATCTTCAATGCCTGTTCAGTCCTGCGTGAAATGTCTAGATTCAATTTATAGAGAATATGAATGTATAACACTGTAGAGGGGTGCTTCTAGCAGATTCTGTTTGGGAGGGACAAAAGGTCAAACCATTCCTTTGCCGTTCTGTGAGAGTTAAGAGTCTCTGGGCTGGGTCAGAGGGTAGGAGAGCTATGTCTAGATCTGGAATGGATCACTCACACAATTAAGTTCTTGTCAGACCCTCCTAATCCCCCCCCAACCCCCCTGTCAAAAAAACCCCACAAACCCACGACAGCACAACTTACGCAGGCAAGCGGACAGCCAGATGGAAAGTAACTATTTTTCTCCACCTTCTTCAAAATTTGAAATGAGAATGGGAACTAATGATGGAAAAAAACATTTCTAAGTTTTAGAATACACTCTTACTTGGGTTACTATTTTGAGGTAATGTTTGGAAACCTTGGGAAAGCAGAATCTGATTTTTCCCTCATTGGAAACTGGTTACTCAAGTGAAAATTAATACCCTCAAATCCCCTTTTAACTCACAAATTAAGCCCTATGGTATTATAGAACAGACCATCCTTAACTATTAAATCCACATTTTTGTTCATTATACATAGAATTATACAACGCTGTTTCTATGTAGAATCTGGATATTCATATATCAGCTGACAAGCCAACATTTAAAAGGTTTTCTTCTGTTGATGCTGCCTGCAAGCAATGGTTTAGTTTTGGCATTTTTATCATCCTTGTCTGACATTAGTGCTTGTTTTTTGTTTACTTATTGGTAAAATGTAAGTATTGAGCCAAAGGTGTAAATGACTAGGCCGTTTGAAGTGGCAAGTGTCTGGCTTCAACCAGATACTCATTATGTGATCAACTGTGAAAGAAAAGAATGAACAAATAAGTATGAAGGTTCGGAAATATACTGCTGGAGACTCAGATAAGGAAGAATGTATGTTTGACTCCTTGAGAAGGAGCCTTTTCCACCTCACATACACACACATTGAACACACTTAAGTCTATTGTTAAACTTTCAGCGACTGACCTCATTATAAGTTTTCAGAGACCTAGTATGTACTAAAATAAAATCTAAAGGTCACACTTTAAATCAATTATTATTAGTGACTATGTCCATCACAAATTCCTAGAAGATTAAGAGATAGAAGGATCCTTAGAGTTCATCTACTTCAAAGCGATAGCTCTGCAGATGAAGTAACTGGAGGCCACAAGGATGATCTTACTTGCCTAATGCTCCACAGTTAAGCCAATGGTGGCACTGGGACCAGAACCTGGGGCTTCTCTCATTCAGTATTCTTTCTATCACTGTTATTTTTGATGCCCAGCCATCATGTTAACATCACAATTCTGACTGGCTCCTCAAAAATCACTGCAGGCATGATCCCTAATAGCCTTGGAAACTATTAGTGCATCCAGGTTTTGGGCCTGTGAATGTTTGTGATTCTTACTCCACAAAATACAGTATCAAGACTTAAAAGCCAAATCAAATTAACTGATGTCACAAATGGTTTCTCTAACCCTAGGGGAGCATAGGCTCGGTTGTGTGTTTTGTGGCTGGAGGTGATCGTTCCCCCCAAGTCGCTGCTGACAGTGTCTGCCCATGTGTTCTCAGGCCCATGTGTGTAGCCACAGCCACATACTCAACCTGCTACGACAGAGACAGCCTTCACTGATTTCTAATAGATGTGCGTGGCAAGCGCAGTGCCATGGACAGGTAAGAGGGACTACAAGGCAAACGTAAGAAGAGGAACAGAATCTGAGTGCTTGACCTATTTTATCCAAACAATTGTTTCCCAAACACTACCACAGGGTTGTGTTTTGTTTTGTTTTGTTTAACATCTTTATTGGAGTATAACTGCCTTACAATCGTGTGTTAGTTTCTGCTTCACAACAAAGTGAATCAGCTATACATATACATACATCCCCATATCGCCTCCCTCTTGCGTCTCCCTCCCTCCCACCCTCCTTATCCCTCTAGGTGGTCACAAAGCACCGAGTTGATCTCCCTGTACCACAGGGGTCTTGATTACAATGAACCTGAAATCTTATAAAATACGGTATATTTTATTATTTAGCGACTTCAGGGAAAGGGAGAGCTGATAGTGCCACACTTCTTAAAGAATTACTTCTTCACTAATTTTTGGGGTGGGAAACTTAGGTACCCAGCACAAATGGGTAAATAATTCATATAAGAAAATGTTTTCAAATAAATAAGATTTATCTCTGTGTGTGATTTTTTAAACTATACTTTAACGGAATTTAAAAAATAAGTTACATATATATATTTCATTGTTTATATTCTTAAGCAGAACCTAGTAAACATAAGTAACATGTTTTACACAGAAGAAGAAGAAAAAAAAATGGTTTCTCTATTTTATCTTCCAGGTCTAAGGTTAAATATCGCCTTTTCAGGGATGCCCCCTCTAGCAAGCTAATCTATGATTGCCTTGTTCTTCATAAAATTTTATAGCACATACCATATTTTGAAATAATACATTTGTTTGCTTATCATTGGTATATCTTCCCTAATAGACTGTACATCCATGAAGGCAAGGGTCAGTTCACTACTGTTTATGTAGCACCTAGCACAGTCTGTGGCATGTAGAATAAGCTCAGGTAATATCTGTTGAGTAAACAAATGAATTTATCTCTCTAACCCATGGTTGAGGCAAGCCTTATGGAAGCTTTAATTTTTCCTTTTATCCTGTCCTAAACTTGGTATCTAAGCCCAAGGATTAAAGTTCCAGGGAAGCAGATTTTAGCTCAGCAGAAGCTACCAATTAGAGAGCTTCAGAAATGGAATGAGCTATTCTGTGGGGTACTGGGCTCCTTGCCAAGAGGCTGCCAAGGTACATAGGATCCCTCTGCTTTAGATAGAAGTTCGACCTTGACAACCTCTCAGCGTCTCCTATGACTTCCAACTCTAGGTTCTGCAGTTCCTTCCAGTTGTTTGATTTTGAGTTAGGTTAAAATAAAGTGCATATAGAAACTCATTAGGAAGTGACCTAAGATAAGACATCTAATGAGACTTAGAAAATTGATTATTCAGGCATGCATGCCTTTTTATAATTATTTGATACATATGAATCCTACTGAGTTCACCATTTGCCATAAGTCCATATATCTGCATCTCAACGAAGACTAAAAGTAGAGTTAAAAAAAATTTGTGTAGCATTTCACAGTTTTAAACACATACACACACACACATGCACACACACTTCCATGTAATTACTATATCAAGTCTGTGAGGAAAATGATGCATGAGCTCATACAGAGTAAGCAGCTTATCCAAACTCATACTTGTGACTGCTAGAACCGTCAGGTCGCGAAGTTCCAAATCAGTGATCTTCTCACTCTAATATGCCCTGTTATTTTTTGACTCCAGAATTATCCTCCCTTTAGGTTTAGCTATATATCCTCATCTTGGATGGAAAATACCTTTCTTCCAAATTTCACTGGGAAAAGGCCAAATGGAATTTAAAAACCTGTTTTTTTCTTTCATAGGTATCGAAAATCTATTTTATTATCAGAGACGTTATAAATATCTAACATGAACTAACTGCAACACAACAGTGTTTAGTTTAAATAATACATCTTGTTAGCTTTTATAATTTAGGATCAACAGTTATTAAATGTGATTTTCCATGTAGTCTGATGAAAAAAGATTTCAATTCACAATAGCAATTTTCTTAATTCAAGACCCGAAAAAGGAATATTTTCTTCTGTAATGTTTAGTAAAGCAATGAGAATAAGATGGGAATTTATCATAGGTTAAATGGGAAGGGAGAAAAGATCCAACAACATTTTATTTTTAGCTAGTAGTTGCTTCTCAAAGGTCACAGAGGGCAGTGGTCTACTGATTAAAGACAAAGTAAAATACACAATTTTGGGACTTCCTGGAGGTCCAGTGGTTGAGACTTTGCCTTCCAGTGCACGGGGTGTGGGTTTGATCCCTGGTCGGGGAGCTGGGATCCCACATGGCTTGCGGTCAAAGCATAGAACTGAAGCAATATTGTAACAAATTCAATAAAGACTTTAAAAAAATGGTCCACATCAAAAAAAAATCTTGAAAAAGTAAAATACACAATTTCATACTGTCCTAGAGTTTGAAAGGACCTTTGAGATCATCTAGTTCAATTTCTTCATTTTTTTCTTAATTGACACAATAGCTTTGAGATTCTATCTGCTATAAGTACCTCCTCTTGATGGAGTTCATCTTTCCATGAAATGCCTTCAACTTTCAATGAAAATCATGATCACATGTATCTTTCATGTATCTTCTGGCATGACAATTACATATTGAAAACTTCTGCATTTCTACAGTTCAACCATGCATTCTCCTGTATGTATATTCATGTGCAGTACCTCTGGCACAGGGTGGTTTTCCTTAAGCAGTCTTCAGCTACAAAAGACACGAATGAGTAAATCTTGGAAAAGGGATAACATCTTTGATATTGTCAATTCCCAAGATGCACTGCAGATAGCGTTCAAATCCCATCCCAAAACCTCCATGTGGCACAGATCCAAATTGACGGAGGTCCAGATACCTAATTTTGAAAAACAGAGAATCATTACCTATAAATGCTTCATTTAAGATCAGATGTTATGACAGAATTTTATGTTTCAAAAGTTTTTTGCAATCATTTGTTATCGTCACATCACTGCGGTAGACCAGTCTTTTTACAGAGAAGTTAAAGTGATCTGTCCAAGATTACCCAGGCAAACAGCAGCATATCCTGTCATGCATTCATGGGCTTTGGTCACTTGATCCTTATTCTTTAAAGTTCGTTAGATGCTTATATACAGAAAACTTGTCTCATGAGGCTACAGGAAAATTTCTCATAACTTATTTTTCTTTAAATATATTCCTCTTCTATGTCTTGGTATATCTATGATAACGTTCTTGTTTTTCCTTACCAAAATTATATTGTTCAATACACAGAGAAGGGTGAAGAGTTTTGCCTGATGTATTACAAAAAGAGACCCCCTACTAGACTAGACTGTAAGCTACATCAAGGTCAGGAACTGCATCTTAGCCAACCTTTATCTCCAGTGACTGTCTGGGAATAGATGCTCACTATATGATGATTTATTGTTTGAAGGCATAAAAATATACTCTTGAGCACTGGAGTGAAGAAAAACTTTGACTTCTCTGCTTTAAGCCTAGTAGAAGATGTCCAGAGTCATTTTTCTGAAAGGCTACACAGCCTCTGAAGCCCATCCTTGCACATTCTATTCCCACATAAGACTACATGCTAGAAAATGGTATGTTCATGATTCAAACCCGATTCCAATACACCAGCCTGGGATAAAGTTGTTTTAGGAACGGAAGAGAAGGAGGAAGACTCTATAACTATTTTTATTGTCATTTAATGGTGGAATTCTTGAATTATACAATATTGATTAAAATAAGTTTATAGTTTCTTGAATGATTTGTAAAATATACAAAAATACAGCATAAAACTTAAGCACCACAGCTGGTAGTCATACGGCTCCTCAAGGATAAAGACTATAACCTTTTTCCCCACTATTAATAACAATGACTACATGTATTGGTATTTTAGGCAATTAAGATTAAGTACTTCTCTTTCTAAAATAAAACACAAATTGCAACTAGGTGAGTTACAACCAAGTGAGCGATCAATAAGACAGGAGTTAGTATTTAAGAACTATCAGGAATAATGGAAGGAACACAGTCCTGAGTAATTGAAATGTTTGGTAGCTGAATTAACTTTAAGTTCATAAGGCATGGGGGCAGAATACACTTTGATTTAGTGAGAAAATGAGATGAAGGGCATGTCAAACCACCTGCCACAAACACCTGCAGGATCTGAGTCGGCTGCTAGAGGTCCAGTATCTAGCTTTAGCTGGCTTTAAATTTCTCATACATCGATGTCAAAACACTGGCATAAATGCCTGGAAACTGAATTCAGAAGAGGGATTCTGTCTTTAGCATTTTTCTTGCCTTTGCTTTGACAGATGGAAAAATCTACTTCTAAAAACAAGTTTTCAAAAGAATCTTTATTTGATTGTTGTTATATTGATTCTAGGGTAGCCAGATTATAGAAGAGATGGTACAAAAATTATGGAACTAGTTACAGATTATTTGCATGTGGCGTGTAGAAACAGGAAGTGAGAAAATTCTTAGACACCTGGGGTGGCTATTCACAGTTTGGTAGAACACTAGGAGAGATCACAGACTTGGAGATTTTTAAGGTCCTTTCTGCCTTAAAATGCTATGATTATCATATAAAAGGAAGCAGATCCCAACTGTTAAAAAAATAAAATTCAAGTGAGTAAATTTTTAAGATCTTAATTGGCTTTATTCAGTGATTCATGAATCAGGCAGTATCCCATCTAGCAATAGAAAAGAGCTCCAAAGAGCTCTACAGAATGATTATAGGCAAAAGGGGGTAGGACAAGGAAATTACTAGCAAAGAGTGGGTGGTTTCAGGCAAGGTCGCCTTCCTTTAGGAGATGGCAGGGGTCTATCAGGCAGATTACCTCACCAGTGTTGACCAGGTAATTTTAGATTCCCTGGTTCAAGATTCCACTCCTGGGAGATGTCAAAACTATAATTAAGTTAGGTATTAAGTCTCAGTTTGGTGATGTGAGCTTAGTACAAGTGACTCCATTTTGAGCCTGCTGTCTCTTTTATTAACAAAATAATAAATATTTATATTTGGAGATGTTAGGAGTTTGAAAACTTTAGTTGGGAAAGAGTAGTATTGAAATGATTAATAAAGACCAGAAAAGGTCTAAACCAATAATTAAGATTTATATATAACTAGTTTTTATACACTATGAATATTACCTTGTAGACAGAAAGAAACTGAGGTAAAATGCATAAGCTTGACAATCAGGCTCATCTACCTAATAGCAAGACTCAGAACAAAAGAAGGAAAGGGGGACGGAAACTTAACTAAGCTTCTACTCTGTGTAGATACTTAACCTGTATTGTTTCCTTTCATCCTAACAATAACCCTGTGAAGTAGATATTATCATTCCATTTTATGGCCAAGAAAACCAAGACTCAAGAGAGATTAAATATGCCAAAGTTCATTACTGATAAATAATGAAGCAATCTAGGGCCATTACTTGAACCCAATTTTAGGCTTTTTTGCATCTCTGAAATCAGCTCCTTCATTACGAAAAGGCAAGTGTGTAATTTAACCTTTCCTTCTCCTGAGGACAGCAAAAGAATTAATAATTTTGTTGATATTATTATACTAAGATCCTGAAAGAGTCTTATTACACAAATATAAATAAATAATTTGTACATACTGTAAAGTACTTGAAGAAAGGGTCTGCATAAAGAACACCAGAACAACTTAGGAATGCAGACAGATGATCTTCCCTAAGCAGCTTAGATTTCTACAGTTGGTGGAGACCTCAGGGACCACTTAGCTCAAGCTCCTAATTTCACACATAGAGAAAATGAAGCATAATGGTTAGGAACAAAGTCCCAGCTCTTTGCTTCTAACTGTGTGCTCCTGCTTAAGTTAGTTAACATCTCTAGGCCTCAGGCCTGGAGGGATAATAAAAAGAGAATAAGAATAGTACCTTACTAACAGGGTGTTGTGATGATTACAGAAGACAATATACATCAAAATTTTAACACAGTTATCTGGCACACAATAGGTAATAAATAAATGACAGACATTATTATTACTACTTTTCAAAGACTCAAAGGGAGTAAATAATCTGAGAACCTGTTCATTGTTTTAACACTCTTCTATAGCACCCTGGAAATACAAGTGAAAACTATTTCACACTCAGACCCACAGCTAGAATAAGAGTCATCAGGGGTTACATTCTCACCATTGGTAGGCTTCTGTCAGTCCTGACCTGTAAAAGGAAAACAACAAAATTATTTCGGAGAATGGCAATAAGATAAATATACTAATCACCAAATATTTATTCTGGGTTGTGTGCACAGTGCTCTTTATAAAGAAGTACACACCAAAACCTGTGCTCTTAAATAACATGCAATGCAGTTAAGAAGCCGAGCCTTTATTAGGTGGTAAGAAAGGTAGGATAACCAATAGTAAGAAAACCAATAGTCCAAGGTATTATCAAATAATAAATGCTATAGAAGGAAAGTATGGTCCAGAGCCCAAAAGATGGGCTTCATTTGAGATAAATTTATCATCCTGTGACATAAGAGAAGTACTATTACTACTATATAGGGTTGTTGAAAGGCACACACAGACAAGTGATGTAGAGACACAATTTTCTTTCCACAATATTAAAACAATAATACAGATTCTGAGGCTGCCTTCATAATATGGCTGCAAATTGGTTTTTGCCAATTTGAGAAATGTTAATAAAACTTAAAGCTCTTAGTACTCATGAAATTTAGTTTCAGCCCTTACAAGTGTTTGGGACCACTGTGTACCTCAAAGTGATCAAGATTATGAAAAATTCAAATATACAAAAATATGAAAAACATGAACAGAAGTCACAGACAGATCTCTGAGACAGGTAAACACATATATCCACTTCATTAGGAAAGACAAATTTGGATATTATCAGATATTAGGTAAACATTTAATGTTATGAGGAAAGGTTTCCTGAAGGAAGGAAGCAAGCAAAGAAAACAGACCAATTAATCTTTCAACAGATGAAGTTCCTTGCCATGTGTGATTTTTATTGTGCTTTAAAAAAAAACAGAAAACCTTCAAATTCTTTCCATCTAAGGAGTTTTACCATCACTTCAATTCCACGATTTTTCCAGGACTTTTTAACACTATAGTAATACTAAGGAGTTAGTAGTCTATGTGATAAAAGAGTCCTCCCAGAACATATGTATCCCCTTTCTTCTGGACGCTAACCAAACAGAGCCGTTCAAATGATTAGGATTACAAAACCAAGTTACTCAACAGATTCATAGGTTCGGATCTTGGAAAATCAACAACTTTTTAAGCATTTCTCCATTAGGAAAAGAAGGCCTTAACAAATGGCTAATTTAATAAACATGTCAAACAATCATGACTTTTCCAGGTTACTGTGAAACTTAGTATTATCTGGAGAGAAAGATTAAGCCTTCAGCATGGGAAAGTCATTTTTTAAAATAGTCTGGCACAGTAAAAGTGGAAACCATGGAAAACAGAGGTTTATAACCTTGGTTAGTTTAGGAAGTCATTGTGGGTTGTTGGCTGACCATGCATATACAGGAGTGGTGGTTCGATTAGAAACATGATTCCCTCCTCTTCATATCCAAAACATTTTCTGGTGTTTAAGGATACATTTCCCAGGTCTCAAACAGTGAGTTAAAATAAAGTTATTCAAATACCTAAATCAAGATGCTTACATAGTAGAAAACCTGAGGAAGGGAAAACTGCTTATTCTAAATGCTAGCTTAGTGGATATTTTTAGTTTCTTTCTCCCTCCATCTTTATCCTTTCCCTGGTTCAGAGCCTGTCCTTATGCCCTGTAGGAGTCTGCCAATCATAATTTAGAGTTAAACACACACACACACACACACACACACACACACACAAAGTGAAGAACAAACTTTAAGGGGGAAAATTTTCCTTTTCTATCATTAACTTTTTTAAAAAAATTTATTTAATTTAATTAATTTATTTTTGGCAGGGTTGGGTCTTCGTTGCTGCACATGGGCTTTCTCTAGTTGCGGCAAGCAAGGGCTACTCTTTGTTGTGGTGTGCGGGCTTCTCTTTGTGGTGGCTTCTCTTGTTGAGGAGCATGGGCTCTAGGTGCGTGGGCTTCAGTAGTTGTGGCACACGGGCTCTAGAGCACAGGCTCAGTAGTTGTGTCACATGGGCTTAGCTGCTCTGTGGCATGTGGGATCTTCCTGGACCAGGGCTCAAACCTGTGTCCCCTGCATCGGCAGGCGGATTCTTAACCACTGCACCACCAGGGAAACCCCTCTATCATTAACTTTTTTTTTTTTTGCGGTACGCGGGCCTCTCACTGTTGTGGCCTCTCCCGTTGCAGAGCACAGGCTCCGGACACGCAGGCTCACCGGCCACGGCTCACGTGCCCAGCTGCTCCGCAGCATGTGGGATCTTCCCGGACCAGGGCACGAACACCGTGTCCCCTGCATTGGCAGGCGGACTCTCAACCACTGTGCCACCAGGGAAGCCCTATCATTAACTTTAAAAAAAGCTATTTCCATAGGGAGAGATAGATACAAATAGTGGCAAAAAATCATTGTGTTTCATATAATAGTTCTAGTCTTTCAGAAAGAGAAGCTCAGAGAGGTTAAGTAACAACTTGCTCAAGGTCACACAGAATCTGAGATCCAAGTCTGTCAGGAGCTACGGCCCATGCACTATTCTCTGTTAGTTTGCCATGACTGCCTTTGAGTGCCCCATCCCCAATTTCTGAATTCTGTTTCTTCTACGTCTCACCAATACCTGGCCAATCGCTGCTCTAAGAAATGGTACCGTTCTTCTCTGAGGCTTCCCCCAAAGAGTTCTCCAACTCCAGGAACCAGAAGATCAACAGCAGCAACCTAAAAAGGAAAAAACTCATAAACAACATTCCGTTTTCAGAGCATTCCAACAACTGTCAGCTTCTGAAGCAAGTGGAACGTTTAACATTTTGACAACTGGCTATTTAACTGCTTACCAGAATCTTATTTATGTTACCTGTTCATGTTCCCTGTTTTAATACCAAATGTTTAATATTATCTTTAGAATACAAAATGCAGGTGGACAGTTTCCCCTCTAGCACCATTTATGCAGTATACTTAACAAAAATGTGTTTTCTGCACAAATGTGAGACAAATGTTAATTATAAAAATGTGGGAAGTATTAAAAATTATGAAATATTAAAAAACACCTATTAGCATGCAGAAGCAATTACATGTTGGCATATTTTCTTTCAGGTTTTTCTTCTTATATACTTAAAGAGTATAGCAGAGATCAAATTACATACAAAATTTACCATTCTAATTGTCTTAGCTAATATTATTCAATAAATATTTTTCCTATGTCAGTAAAAATACTTTGCATACTTAATGTTTTAACAGCTTCACAGTTTATTGTTTAGAAGTATCATAGTTTATTTAATAGTTTATTTAACTTCTTTCCTTTTGTTGAACATTTAGGGGTGTGTGTGTGTGTGACGGCGTGTCTGTCTTTTCTCTTATAAATAATGTGGCATTGAAGTTTTTCTTTAATTTGAAGTATGTTAGGACATGTAAAATATGTTCTGATCATTAATCAAATTAAAACAAAGAGATACCACTTCGGAGTTATCAAAATGGTGAAGATAAACAACATAAACAATATGGATTAGAGAATGCATAGACCAATACTCTCGTACATCTGATACAACCTTTCTGGTGAGCAACTTGGCAAAAGATAATCAAAGCCTTAAAAATGCAATATGCTTCGACTCAGCAACAGGAGTTCTAGGAACTAGTTCTAACAAAATCATCAGAGATGCAAAAAAAAAAAAAAAAAAAAAAAAAGATCAACGCACAGGATGTTATTTGTATTTTCTTATTTTCTGCAATAGAGGTGTGTTACACTTTCATAATAAAACAACAAAAATTTTTTAATAGGGGAAAATGGTAGCTTGATGTTTTAATTTGTATCTCTTCACTTACTAGTAATATTTACTTTTTGAGAATGTTTATTTGCTGTCTATATTATTTTGTGACTTAGCAATTCTTTTTTTGGGGTGGGGGGAACAAAGGGGGACCAGGCAGACATTTTTAGGGCCAAGAATCTGAAGGCACAAAACTCAGAAAGATTTATTTTACAAATGAAAAATTAGGAACCCATAAAACACATTTAATAACACACAAAACACTTAAGCTTTAAATGTCACGTTATATTATGAACTCTTTTCTTAAACTCTGCCTTACTTTACTATTAAGCCATTCTCCTGTTTCCTGATTTCAGAATTTTTGACTGATATCTAGTTTATAAATAATTAAGATTAATAAAGAATGTAATAATTTAAGAATGTGTGCCAAATGCTACATAATCCTCAGTACTATCATTAAAGAGAAAACACGAGACATGATTTTCATCCATCAGCTGAATCAAAGTGAGAGCAAATGGAAATTTACTAATGGTTTCTACTTTTACAGAATCTCCTACCACTCAATAAGCTTGTGAGGAGTGTGTACAAACATGCCTTTTTCACACTACCACTGCTGGTTGACTACATTTTAGTAATTCTTCTATGAACCTGAAGACCTAAAATGAACAGGCAAGTATTTTAGAATGTGGATTTGGTGACTCAGACAGGATAATAGGTAATGAAACACACAGCTTTGGCTAGGTAAACAAGAGAGCTTTACTAATGTGAAGAGCAAATTCTCATAGGCTATACAATTAATAGAGCTGGACTCCAATCAGGACCCTGCAGTTACCCCTTCTTTTCTCAGAGAAAGGAGAAGATCAAGGGAGTTTTTATGGCCACAGAAGGACAGGTATCATTATTTACTAGTATACTGCTTTTAGACATGGCTAAAATATGCTACGAGCTAAGAGATACGTGATGAAAAATTTGTTCTTAACGTCAATCCAGAGTTTTAAATTTGGAGTTACAGGCAATCAGGGTTAGAAGAGAACAGACAGCCAAGTGGCTCTCTGGCCTTTGCTTGAAAATATTTAAGCAAATATTTAATATAATTACACTAACTGTTTACTAACATTTAATGTACTATATTAATATTAATAAACTTAACAAATATTTAACAAAAATATTTAAGGGAACCAAGACCCCTGAAATATAGCATTCCATCCTTGTGTAGCTCTGTCAGAAAGGACAGGTATATTCAAAATCTATCATTTCAACGTTTTTGAAGTAAGGGAAACTCCAAGGTACAAAGGTGTACAGAGATTGATTCCGGTACTGCAAGTACCTGCAAAGCTTTAAGAGCCAGAACTAAAAAAGTCCACTGCCTCAAAAGAAAACAAAATGCTGAGGAATCAGCTATTACGGAAGAATAAGAAGTAGGAAGTCCAGCAGAGGCTGGTGGCCAGCGATGAGGAAGTGAGGCAACCTTGATGCATCAAACAAGAGACCCATTTCTTGCTTGGTCCTGCTGCTAACACAGCTAAAACAAGCAAAAACCCTTTTTGGATCTTAGCATTTTTTGCAGGTCTAAATTATGTCAACTTTGGACTGTAGGTTTTTTTAATGCTATTTTCAGAGGAGTGTAAGACTCATATTTATCTTTGATTATAAACCTCCTTTGTATTAATATTTGATTTCCCTCTGTCTCCCAACAGTTATACTCCCCTAGTTACGACAACCAAAAAAGTCTCCAGACATTGCTGAATGTCTCCTGGGTGGGGGTAAGGGGGAACAAAATAACCCGATTGAGAAATACTGCTTTACATCAATGAATTGGATTTTTAAAACTTATGCTGCATGTCCATCCTGGCTTGAAACGATAAAAAAGGCTTCTTTCTGAGGTATTGCTGATCTTGTGGCCGATGGGAAAAAAGAGCACGATGAGAATGTAGTAAAAGCATTTGTCCAGAAGTAATGTATGTAGGTCATGTTTGCTCCCAATTGTTGGCCAATGTAAGCCACATGCAAGTCACGAAGCTCATGTCAATGGGGCAGGGAAGTAAATACCCCTGCCCCCACCTCCCGAGGGCAGAGCAGCAACCATTTATGTATAATAAAACAATTTACCAGGTAGCTTTTCCCCCCACCTACTTGGGCTCTTCCACTTCCACTTTCCCAACCAATTTCTCATTGTTAATTAGAATTCAGGTCAGAATAGCAGTTCCCCTATTTCCTTCCTCTGTACTCTGGGAAAGGAACTTATCAGTAGGAAAGAACTTACCAAATAGTCTATTTTAGTTGAATAAAAAGTTTAGAAGATCAAGTCCCACATCACTACTAATTTTGTGACATGCAGAAGGAAGACATCCTCACCTATGTCCTTTCTTTGTCTGGATGGTCTGAAAATTCACACTCTCAGGCAGGAGAATTTCCTGTATGTTTTCTTGACATGGAGAGTAAAGTTGCTTCCCCTCTTAGGAGCTGTATACCTTTTAAGTAAGGCATTCCAATTAATGCCTCATCAATGTTCCATGACTACAGGTTACTATTTCTTTTTTATGAAGGATAGATTTATCTCTTGGTGAAGAAAGGCCCACAAAGACCTTCTTCTCCTCTCTTCCTACATATAATCTTCTTCTCTTTTCTGTTACTTTAGGTTTCCCTTCAACAATATCAGATCTGTTTACGTCCTGCTTTCCTTTTATAATGAGATCTTCCAACCTACCTAGAGGTTCTGCACACTTTCTGAGAACCTATAGTATAGTAAAGTATTCCTCAAATATAAACAATGACATTTACATCAGTAGACACAGAGTGGCACTTTCTTCTGATATGATATAAAAAAATACTGCATTCCCTAAAGATCACTATAACAATCCCCTCAATTTCCACACTTCTTAGTTAAGGCTGAGATTCCAGATAGGATTCTTCTATCTGTGTCTCCACCTGGTAACTACTGGGCTAATTACTACAGAACTGCCTGTTTCTCCAGGGCTCTAGGGGAGGTAAAAGGCACATACAGATATAATACAAATCATGACATAGGGCTGAACAAAGTACAAAATGTGGAGCGACTCACACAAATTTCTTAAGAAGTAATGAGAAAAACTTGGTTGTGTTTGCCAAGTGACGGGTGGTAAGGCAGTTAGAGTGCAAAAGGCTGAAAACAAGCAAGTTGCCCAGATCATTAGCAGGTGATTAGTTTGCCAAGATGGGCTGGCAGGTCTGTGGTTTACAGGAGTCTAAAGCTAGCTTAAAGAGCCAGGGGCTGAGCAATCCTGCCCTTGATGAGGAAGTGAGAACCCACAGGCTGCACAGGGAAATGTCCTCTTAATTCAAAGCTGACCAAATTTCACTTCAAATCTCCACTGTGTTCCTGTGCATCTTTGGGAGACTTGAAATAAATAGAAGGACTTTAGTTCTGCTGTCCTCTCACTCTCCTACACAGTTCTCAATGAAGGCTACAAATTATATATATATATATTTTTTTAAGCTAGAAATATTTTTACTACACCCTTCACTAACTTCTTTAGTCTTAAGACTTATTCCACTTTGGGCACCTCTTCTGGGCCAGAATGCTGTCTGGCACCCCTTCCTCCACTGTGTATGAGTTTTGATTTTGCTCAAGTCACACAGCTACAGCAGCATGCTGCCTAGGAATAGTGTGTGTTGGTATTTAAGCTGAACAGCCCTGGTCTCTATTTATGACACTCCCTTTTGACTCCTACTCTTTGATTCCAATAGTGTACTGAAAAGAAAACTCAGCCCTTGAATTAAAAAATGAACAGGCTAGATAGGAACAAGGCCTTTAATATTTAATATATAACCTCTTCTATGCTAACTTCAAAGAGAGGGGAAAAAAGTTTAATGTCCCATCTTCTGCTACCTATTTTTAAATATTGATGAAAAACAGAAACCGAACACCTCCCTATTCAGTTTCTCACAGGTGCTACCAACAATGGAGTAATATTATGT